TTTTTTTTTCTGTTTGTAGGATATGGGCCCTCACATTTTCCAGACCTGTCCCTCTGCTAACTATTTTGACTGTAGAGCTATGTCCATTGGAGCACGTTCTCAATCAGCTCGTACTTACTTGGAGAGACATATGTCTGGGTTTATGGAGTGTAAGTAATTTTTTTCTTGTCCCCTCCAGAGATGAGCCAGAGATGAGAACCACTGTATTGGTTACCAATTATAAGTTCTGTTGACAACTTTTAGTTTTCTATGATTCTGTTGTTATTTTTAGCCACATAGACATTTCTGTATAAGTAGTGCATAGACAAGAAATTAGGGTAGCTATGAAAAAGAAAGGTAAAATGATGATGGAAGATGTGATCATGGGGCAGGTTTTCAAGTGCTTTGCTTAAACAGTGGTCTTGGACTTTAACACATGTTTTTTGGACATCTCTTTAGGTGCCTGTGTGGTTGTTTACCCTTCATTCTATTGTGGTGTATTGCATTATTGGGCTTTTGAATATTAAACCAGCTTTTGGATTCCTAGGACAAATCCCTCTTGATCATGATTTATAATAGTAACTATATATAGAAATGTTTACATAAACATAATTGTTGCTGGATTCATTTTGCTGATATTTTGTTGAGGTTTTTTTTTTTGTGTCTGTATTCATAAGAATAATTGATCTGTAGTTTTATTTTCTTGTGATATCTTTGTCTAGTTTTGGTATCAGGTTAATACTGGCCACATAGAAATATTGGAGACTTTGTTTATAAAGAGCAAATAAATTCCATAGAATACATTTTACAAAAATTTGAGCTGTAGCATTTGTGAGTGAGGATTCTCATTTAATTTAGCATAAAGGTGAAATTTAGTAACAAAAATCATGTATTCTCCTCTTTAAGTAAAATAATAGCAATGTTATTTATTATTAGAAGATTATATGGCTAAACATTAAAATTTTGGCTTTTTATTGTGATATATTTATTATGTGACTAAAACCATAATAACAGACTGTAGACCTGGTAAAAGCAGCCTCATGTGAAGATGAAATTAAGAAATAATTGTTAATTTGTTACATAGGCAATTTGAATGAACTGGTTAAACATGGTCTGCGTGCCTTACGAGAGACACTTCCCGCAGAACAGGACCTAACTACAAAGGTAGATAATCATGTTTTTCAACTTGAAGTTTTAACATTACAGGTCAATCACTTATTTCATAAGTATAAGTAATAGAGGAGTGTACACAGTTCTTCAATTTGGGAGATTTGCCTTGGTTCATTCTTTCTCTTTAAGCTATTCACTAAGTGATCTGATTTTGCAATGATTTTTAAACATTTCTTTTTGGTGTAAAGCAATAAAGCCAGTAAGTTTTATGTAGAATGCCCTACATTTCTTTAGCAGGTCAGAATACCTTTGTATTATTATTATTTTTTTAATGTTTATTTATTTTTGACAGAGAAAGAGACAGAGCATGAGTGGGGGAGGGGCAGAGAGAGAGGGAGACACAGAATCTGAAGCAGGCTCCAGGCTCTGAGCTGTCAGCACAGAGCCTGATGCAGGGCTCGAACTCACAGACTGCCAATTCATGACCTGAGCCGAAGTCGGACACTCAACTGACTGAGCCACCCAGGCGCCCTGATACCTTTTTGTATTATTAACTCAGTTAACAAATATATGTATTGAGCACCTACCACATGCAGACACTAGGCATTGAAAATATAAGCACAGCAAGCATCTTGGCCTTCATGGAACATACTATCCAAGTTGGGGCGAGAATATATACCCATAAGTAAATTATATAATATATTAGAAGGTGATAAATGCCACAGAAAAAATAAAACAGGTTAAAATGAGAAAGACCATCTGGGTATAGGAAGGAGGTGTGCTGAGGAAAATTTAAAATAGGGTGGTCAAGGATGGCCTTGGATGGTCAAGAAAGTGAAATTTGAGGAAAATATCTAAAGGAAGTGAGTGAGTGAGCCATTCAGATGTCTAGCACAAGATTAATCCAGGGAATACAAGTATAAGGGCCTTGAGTCCAGAACATTCCTTGTAGTTGAGGCAGGGAGGCTAGTAGTGTTGGAGTCAGTGATCAAGAGAAAGAGAAGGAATAAAGTCAGATAAATGGAGGCCAGATCATGTATAAACCATTGTAGGTATTTTGGGTTTTATTCTGAGTGGGCTGTCAAGAGTTTGAGCAGAAGAATACCATGATTTGATTTGGGTTTTAAAGAGTCATTCTGGTTGCCATTTTGAGAACAGATTATAGTGGGCAACATGGGTGAAAATAGTTTTAAAACTGTTAAGGTAATGCAGATGAGAGAACGTGGTGAATTAGAGCAGAGCTGTGGAGTTGGAGAGGGAGGTAAGTGGTTCAGTTTGGGGTATGTTTTGAAATTAGAGCTAAAAATGTTTGCTAACGAATTAGTTGTGAGGGTGTGAGAACAACAACAAAACAAGTTGTTTTCAAAATTTGGGGCCTGATAGATTAAGGAGAGGTTTACATTTACTGAGATGGATAAGACAGTAGAAGGGACAGGTTTGGGGGTGGGAGTTGTGGAAGATCAGGCAGTTAGCTTGGGACTTATTAAACCTGAAATGCCTATTGTCCATTGGTGATATAAAATAAGCAGTTATTGGGGCACCTGGCTGGCTCAGTCAGTGGAGCATGCGACTCTTGACCTCAGGGTTGTGAATTCAAGCCCCATGTTGGGTGTAAAGCTTACTTTAAAAAAAAAAAAAAAAAGCATTTATCAGATGTGTCTCCCCTAAAGTTTGGTGGAGAATGGTCTAGCCTAGACTTACAAATTTTGGAGTCTTTATGTAGAAATGGCATTTTGAGACTGGATTGGATGACACTGCTAAAGGAATCATAGCTTTGTAAGAGGTTTAAGGCCTGGGCCAGGGGCACTCTAACCTTCAGAGATTGGAAGGTAAGTATCAGCAAAAACGACTAAGAATGATGACCAGGGAGATAGGAGGAAAACTTAGAAAGTGAGACATTCTTGAAAGCAAATGAGGAAACTATTTCAAGGAGGAAGGAACAAAAAATTGGTAATACATCAAGGAAGATGTGGAGTGAGAATTAAATGTAATGGGGGACTCGACTAAACGGTTTCATTGGAATGGTGAGCCAAAAGCCTGAAAGGGATGAATCAGTAGAGAATGGGCAAGGACGGACTGGAGGCAGCTCTGTGGAGATTTTCTCTTGCAGGGTCAGAGAAATGGGTGGTGACTGGAAGAGAATGAAGGGAAGTTTTGTGTTTTGTTTTTCTTTTAATTAAGATGGGAGAAATTACAGCATGTTTGGTGCATGGTTATAAGAATAATCCCTGTAAAGGGAAACATTTATGTAGGAGGAATATGAGAAAAACTGCTAGACCAGTGTCCTTAAATAGTACACAGGTGGAAGAAAGGTAGACAGACCTTAGAGAGGAAATTGGACTATTCATTAACACAGCAAGGGAGAGGATCTAGGGATATGATACCATGGGAGCTTGTGAACATTCTCTTCTAATTGCTTCTGTTTTCTCAGTGAAATGAGAACGGAAAATGTTAGAAGATGTCCAGGAGAAGAGATTGAATGATCTAGGGACCCATATA